TTCAGCCCCGTCACATCCCCTACCTCATCCTGCCGAGCCTCACTAGGCACCTGAGCAGCAGCAGCAGCAGCAGAGTAAGCAGCAGCAATAGAAGAACAACAGCAATAGAAGCAGCAGCAACGACAGCAGAAGCAGTAACAACAAGAGCAGCAACAGCAGCAGCAGCAACAACAACACTAAGAGCAGCAGCAGCAGCACCACCACCATCAGCAGCAGCAACAACAATAAGAGCAGCAGCAGCAACAACAATAAGAGCAGCAGCAGCAGCAGCAGCAGCAGCAGCAATTATACTCTTTCAATGAAGAGAGAGTCGAATTTATCTGCAGCGACGATTGTATGATAGTCTAAAACTTCTCCTCGAGTCAGCCATCTGCAGCAAATAAATAAATAAATAAATAAATAAATAAATAAATAAATAAATAAATAAATAAATATAAATATAAATATATATACTGTACGTTTATTTGTTTATATTTATTTGTTAAGAGAGAAAGAAGATAAAAAGATAATAAAATAAAGAGACAGAGAGACAGAAAGAGAGACAGCAAAGGAGACAGAGAGACAGCAAAACAGACATAAACAAAAATAAAAAAAAACAGAGAGACAGACACACGAACAAACACACACACACACACACAGAGAGAGAGAGAGAGAGAGAGAGAGAGAGAGAGAGAGAGAGAGAGAGAGAGAGACAGAGCGGAGGAGACAGTAGAGAGACAGAGAAAGAGACAGACAGCAGAGGAGACAGAGAGACATACAGATAGACAGCAGAGAGACAGAGACAGAGACAGACAGAGACAGCAGAGATACAGATAGATACAGAAGAAGAGACAGACAGAGACAGCAGAGGAGACAGCAGAGGAGACAGCAGAGGAGACAGACAGAGACAGCAGAGGAGACAGCAGACCTGGGCCCCGTGTCGTCGCAGAGAACGTGAAAGAGGTTCGCAGCTGCGTTATACTTCAAGACGTGAATGCTCTCGCACATGTCTCCGGCAAATATGCGGTCGCCAGACACCCGAAGAAACACCAAAGTTGAAGGCAGATTCTACGCACACAAACCCTAAACCCTAAACCCTAAACCCTAAACCCTAAACCCTAAACCCTAAATCCTAGAGCCTAAACCCTAAACCCTAAACCCTAAACCCTAAATCCTAGAGCCTAGAGCCTAAGCACGACCCTTACTTAACGCTAAACCATAAACCCTAGGCCCTAAACCCTTTAGGGTTTAGGGTTTATGAGTATTATTTGAGGATATACACCGTTTTAGGGTTCAGGGTTAGGGTTTAGGGTTTGTGTGTATATGCTGGCTGCTGTTGAGATATCAGGGTTTAGGGTTTGTATATCAGGGTTTAGGGTTTATCTCTAGGAATACACTGAAGAGAAGGGTTTAGGGTTTGGAGTCTACGATAGTTCGTCTTAGGCTATATAGAGGGTTAAGGGTTTAGGGTTTAGATTAGCTGCAAGTCTATCTAGAGAGAACAGTAGTAGTTTAGGGTTTAGGCTTAATTATATATATATATACATCCAAAGATATATATATATATATACATCTAAAGATACATCTATATATATATATATATCAATATATGCACAGCATCGTCTAGGGTTTAGGGTTTAGGGTTTAGGGTTTAAGGTATCGGGTATCGGACTTTATATTCGCATTTCTTCAGGAGTCTCTTCTTGCCTAGTGCGTACAAACGCAGCCGATTGCCGACTGAAGCCAACAGCATCCCTCGGAAAGCAGCGAAGCACTGAGGCACGTCCTCGACTGGCGTCTGCACACAACACATTTGCTTAATCAGATGTATATATATATATATATATA